GGGTGGCCGCGCACGATCCAGATTTAGCCGTGAGGTGCACTTTTTCTTTGTTTTTTCTTGTGTCAGGGGTGGTAGCCCTGCGCACAGCAAGCAATATGCTGACACGCCCGCCGTCCCCGTCAAAAACAATACAACGTGCTCGCGGGGTCTCACGAACGTAACTCCAGACTTTGCCCCAAAGTGTACTTTGTTTTGCTCTTGACAAGGATGGTGGGGGGGGGGGCGCATCGGGTTGGCTGCACCTGCTTCGCATTTGGGGGCATAGTGTGTATTCGTATTGTTTTTTACAAAGACGGTTGGAAGGGGTCCTCATGGGGTCCTCATTGTTCCTGGTTGGCTACCGGTCGCCTGGGGGAGGGGGTATATGAATAGGGAACAATGATGAACCCCTCCCCGCCGGACCTCCAGCGTCGTTGAGAGCTCGTTCTGAGGGCCTTCCCTCAGATCCTGGCGTGGCATTTTTCCCAACAATCCTGTGGTGTCGGGTCCTCGTTTTGAAACAAGATCCCGCGTCTCCTCCTTCTCTCCTCCTCCCGTCGTCTCCCTTCTCCCGTTGCCCATTGGCTGCGTCCGCATGCCGCCAGCCCCTCATTTTGGCACACCCCTCACACATTTCGTGGCCCCATAGGGAGCTACACCTGAGGCCCCAATGACTGCGCTCGCATGCCGACACCCCTCATTTTGGCCCACTCCTCACACGTTTCGTGGCAACAGAGGGAGCTCCACCTACTCCTCCGTGGTTGCGCCCGAATGCCGCCACCCACCCATGATTGCACGTTTTGTAGCGTTTTCTGTCTTGGCACACCCCTCACACGTTTCGTGGCCCCATTCGGAACTTCCCCTATGACCCCAATGATTGCGCCCGCATGCCGCCAGCCTCTCATTATGGCCCACCCTCACACATTTCGTGGCCCCATAGGAAGCTCCACCTAAAGCCCCAATGGCTGCGCTCGCATGCCGACACCCCTCATTTTGGCCCACTCCTCGCACGTTTCGTGGCCCCAGAGGGAGTTCCACCTAAGGGCCCAGTGGTTGCGCCCGAATGCGGCCCCAACCATGTTTACAAGTTTTTTCGGCCTTTCCAGTGTTGGCACGCTCCTCACATGTCTCGTGGCCCCATTCGGAACTTCCCCTAAGACCCCAATGGCTGCGCCCGCATGCCGCCACCCGTTTCATCTTGATACAACCCTCACACGTTTCGTCGCCCCACAGGGAGCTACACTGAAAGCTCCAGTGGCTGTGCCCGCATGCCGCCACCCCTCCATTTTGGCACACTTCTCACACGTTTCGTGGGCCCATAAGGAGCTCCACGGGAGGCCCCAGTGGCTGCACCCGCATGCTGCCACCCCCTCATTTTGGCACACCCCTCATACGTTTCGTGGAACTCGTAGGGAGCTCCACCGAAATTCCCATTGGCTGCACCCGCATGTCGCCAGACCTTCATGTTGGCACACCTCCCACCGAAGGTCCCAGTGGCAATGTTCGGATGCGTTTCCCCCACCGAGTACTGCGTTGCATGGCCCCCTAGGGAACTCCACCGAAGGCCCCAGTGGCGGTGTTCGCATGCGTTTGCCCCACCAAATACAGCGTTTCGTGGCTCCATATAGTTCCACCGAAGGCCCCAGTGGCGGTGTTTGCATGCGTTTCCCTCACATGGTAGAGCGTTTCGTGGCCCCGTGGGGGATTCCACCGAAGGTCCCAGTGGCAGTGTTCGGATGCGTTCCCCCACCGAGGACAGCGTTTCGTGGGGCTGCGCCCGCATGCGTACCCGCCCCATGTCAGCACACCTTGTGCACGCTGCGTGGCCTAATAAAGGGACCCACCGAAGGCGATACCCACAACGGCGATACTCACAAATGCTTATGGTTGGGTCCTTCGCCAATCTTTTTTTAGTTAGCGGGCGCTTTCGCCCGGTTTCGGGCCCCTGGACCCTCACCGATCGATCTGGCTCGAAAACTGATGCATAAAAGAGAGGTTCCAGGGTTCTGGTAGTTTTTTTATTTCCCCCCCCCCGATGTTGCAACTTTCTGCAACGTCGGATCTCAGGGTGCCTGGAGCCGCTGTCCCCACTCATGGAAGGACGATGCGTCGAAAGTCCGTCTGCTCGACTCGAAGTCGAGTCGAACGAGAATCGGACAGATCCGTCAAGTGGGCCCCAGGGATAGGCCCCAAACGGAGCTCGTACCGTCGTGATTTGATCGCAACGTTCACTGGGAAGTCTTCGTGGGAACGATTGGGGGCTACAATGCGCGCCCGAATGAATAGGCCACTGCGCTGGATAAGGCAAACTTGAATCCAGGATTGAGCCGGCTTTCGCGGGATAAGCTGGACTAGGCGACGATAAGCCATACTGGGCGTGACTTGTTCACAATCTGGCTCCAGACAGAGAGGGCTCAAGGCTGCGCGCAGACGGTCCGCCAAGGCAGCCCCGCCCGGCCTCAACAAGCCCCTCCGAGTAGCCCAGGGCGGTCTTCACATCCTGGCGCCGCCTCTGGCGCGCTCCGCGCAGCAAGGTTGAGGTGTTGAGACTGCTTTGGAAAACTCGGGAGGCCTCTCGAGACTAGCCGAGGCTGCATCGGCGGGCGCCCGTGCGCTTCCTGGGGACGATCGGCTTTTCATTCCAGACCCGGGGACATGCGCATGAATGAACACAAATCCCAGGATTTCCCATAAATTTCATTGTATTTTCTGAATGCTCGTCTTCCCCCCTCCATGTCCCATACTTTCCAATATTTTCCTGGGAATATACGCTGATTTGGGTCTGTGTGTATTTTTCCCCCCGATCGTCGTTGTCGTCGTCGTCGTCGTCGCCGCCGTCGACCTGCTCGTCGTCGTCGCCGCCCGCGTCTCTGGCGCGGCGTCCGAGAAAAAACTCTCGCCGTCGCCGCTGGTCGACGTCGTCGAACGCCCGCGTCGCAGGCGCGACGGGCTGGCAAGCGCCCCATGGGGAACCCCCGCGGCGTCGGAAGAATTGGTGTCGGGGGATGCTCCCAGACATCCAGTGACCTGGTGCCTGGAAGGTTCTCCTAGCTGAGCTGTCTGGGTCTTCGTCCTTCCTTGCCTCCCCTTTCCACCCCGTTCAGTCCTCCTCCTCCTCCTCCTCCTCCTCCTCCTGCTCCTCTTCCTCCTCCTCCTCCTCCTCCTCCTCCTCCTCCTCCTCCTCCTCCTCCTCCTCCTCCTCCCTCCTCCCTCCTCTCCCTCCTCCTCCTCCTCCTCCCTCCTCCTCCTCCTCCTCCTCCTCCTCCTCCTCCTCCTCCTCTCCTCCTCCTCCTCCTCCTCCTCCTCCTCCTCCTCCTCCTCCTCCTCCTCCTCCTCCTCCTCCCCCTCCTCCTCCTCCCTCCTTCCTTCGAGCGCTTCGGGCGGTCCCACGCCCGCGGGCCAGGCACCCGGCCCCGCCGGGCCATCCGGTCAGGGGCCTACACTCACGCCTGCGGTTTATACTACACCGCCTGCGTGCGGAAGCCTCCCCATGGCCGGGGGCCAGAGCGCGGGCTGCCCGGCTCGCGGGCGGCCTGGCGCCCGGACGCCCCGGGGAGGGCGGTCACCCACGACGGCCCTTGGGGAGACGCCGTCGGGGCAACCTTGGCTGCCGTGGCCGGCGGCCCGCCAAGGCGACGCCGCCGGTTCCGGCCTCGTGTTGCTCTCTGATGGAACATCGCGCAGCCCTGCCGGGCTGGCGGGGGGGGCGCCGGCGGCGGCCGAGGTGGCCGAGGCGCCCCGGGTGGCCTGCTGGGGCAGCTCCACGGCCACGTCGCACGCGCCTGCGCCCAGGCCTCCTTGCGCGGTCACGGCTGTCAGGGCCGGCCCCACTGCTCAGGTGGGCCAGCGTCCTCTACGACGGCGTCCAGCTCCCGCGCCTCACGCGCAGCTTCCGCCGCCGCCGCCGGGTCCGCCCCGCCGAGGAGCCAGTTGGCCACCGCGGCCGGCGACGTTGGCGCCCCTCTGGCAGCTGCCGCTCTGCGCCAGGCCGCCGCGCCCAGGCAGTGCATCACGAGGTGCGTGGTCGACTCCAGGTTGGCGTCGCACAGGCGGCACACCTCATGTTCTAATCATAGTGTTCCTCCTCCTCCTCCTCCTCCTCCTCCTCATGTTCCAATCCTCGTGCTCCTGCTCCTTCTCCCTTCCAGCGCCTCTTCCTCATCTAGAAGACGACAGATCGTCGTACATATAAACTTTTCGAGCTCCGCGCGGATTTCTTGGATCTGCGCTGGGCCACCCGGGGGCGCCTCCAGAGCTGCCCCTGGCGCGCTCCGCGCGCCAAGGACGGGGGTTCAGAGCCGATCCAACATACCCGCGCGGAGCTCCAGAAATTTATGTTTATGCATTTTTTTGTTCTTTGATCATCCTCTTCCGTTTCCCCACCCTGCTCCTCTCGCTCCCCCTCCGCGTCCTCCTCGTCCTCCTCTCTCCTCGTGCTCCCCCTTCTATGCCCCCCCTCCCCTCCGCTGAGTACGTGCGTACTCTCGGAGCTGACCCCGACTTTAGGGAACTGCTCGTCTTTCGAAACCAAGTCGTCATGCAGCAGTTGGCGGCGCGCACAATGGGGTAGGGGGATGGGGGCAGGCTTCTTAGACGGAGGCTGCTTCTTCAAGGCGCTGGCTCTACATCTACAGAGAGTCCCGCGCCTTCGAAAAAGCAGGGGTGCTTCTAAAAAGCATTCCCCCTCCCCCTACCCCCTCTGCGCGTGGCTTAAGCAAGCCGAACCGAGAAGATCGCGCGCCTCCTGAAGTGTTGAACCCAACTTCAATCAATACGCGGTTTCCTCATGAACGCTCTGGGCGCCTCTTGTCTTTCTGGTGATGTTCCGTTCCGTCTCGTCGTCCAGACCCCCCTTCGCCCTCCTCCCTCTCCCCCACCCCTTCCCAATCCTTCCTCAATTCGACCACCCGTTAGCGACCTGGACCACAAGAGCCACCAGGCCTGAGCGGGACTGTGGCGCGGCTGCGCCACGACCCCCACCCCTTCCACGAGAGCAGAGGAACGGCTGGAAACCTCCTTGTGCTTCCTCAACTTCCTGCAGCACGCTGGCGCAATCCGCGCTGGCGACTCTTTTCTCGCGCGCCGCCAAGGCAGAACACGCCGTCGGGGTCCAGCGCCGCCGCCGCCGCCCCAAACTGCGCTGCCGCCTCGGCCCTCGCCGCCGCCTTTCGGGCGCAGCACGACGATTTCGACGACGACGACGACGCCTCCCCACGACGACGACCACCACCACAACGAAAACGTCCATGACGGCCACGACGGCGAAGACGCTGAACGCTGGGGCGACGACGCCGGCGGATGGGGGCGGCGTCTTGGGGCATCCGAGATGCGCTGGCTCGAAGGTTGTCGGCGGTTGTCTGGAGGTCGGGAAACGTCGGGGTAGAGGACATGCAGGAGATGTTCTCCATGTGTAAGAAATTTGCCGATGTTTCCTGGGGGGCATGAGGCGGAGACGGAATATTTAGAAGGGCGGGGGGATAATGAAGGAAAACGAAGGAGAAGGCATGATATTGAGGAGGCAGAGGAAGCAACATGTAAGAACGCGGGGCAATGAATGGTAGGAACACATATGAGTCGCCAGGCAAAGAACCCAACCATATGCAGTTGTGAATACCGCAATTGTGAATGTCGTCTTCGACGGCGCTCCCTATGGGACCACGAACCGTGTGAAAGGGGCGTGCGGCATGTGTGGCGGGGTACACAACGCGAGCGACGACGATAGGTCTGAGTGCGAAAGACTGAGAGCGGGTGAGTCTGAACGCGAACGAGTCTGATTGTGAATGAGTCTGCGCGCGAATGAATCTATGTGCATGAATGTCGACGCCCATGTCGGCACGCCCCTCACGAGGATCGCTCCCGCTTCCGTCCCTTCGCCCCGAAAGGGTCTCAGCGACGCGCGCGGGTCGTCCGCTGCGCGGAGCAAAAAGACCTAGATGGCTGGCTGATAGCGGGCAGGGCTCCGGCCGCTGGGCAGAACGACGACGGGCGAGGGAACCGCTGGGCAGAGCGCAGCGCGGAGTTTCCGTAACGCGCGCTGGTCGCCCGAGCCACTGGGGGGAGACTCCAACAAGTGCAGCCGCTGGGACCGCCGCTGGAGCCCCCTTATGGGGCCACGAAACATTGTACTGGGTGGGGAGACGCATGCGAGTGCAGCCACTGGGAACTTTGGTGGAGCTCCCTATGGGGCCAAGAGGCGCTGTACTGAGTGGGGGACACGCATGAGAGTGCAACTAGTGAGGCCTTCGGTGGAGCTCCTTATGGGGCCCAGAAGCGCTGCACTGGGTGGGGGAGACTCATACGAGTGCAGTCACTGGGGCCTTCGGTGGAGCTCCCTATGGGGCCACGAAGCGCTGTACTGGGTGAGGGAATCGCGTGTGAGCTCTGCCACTGGGGCCTTCGGGGGAGCTCCCTATGGGGCCACGAAGCGTTGCACTGGGTAGGAAGCGCATGCGAATGCCGCCACTGGGACCTTCGGGGGAGCTCCCTATGGGGACGCGAAGCGCTGTACTGGGTGGGGAAACCGCGTGCGAATTCCGCCACTGGGACCTTCAATGAAGCTCACTACGGGGGCACAAGAGACGCTGTAACGGGTGAGGGAATCGCAGGCGATTTCCGCAAATGGGAGTTTCGGTGGAGCTCCATATGGGGCCACGAAGCGCTGTACTGGGCGGGGGAAACGCATGCGAGCTCCACTACTGGGACTTTCGGGGGAGCTCCCTGTGGGGACACCAAACACTGTATGGGTGGGGGAACCGCATGCGAGTTCCGCCACTGGGACCTTCGGTGGAGCTCCCTATGGGGCGACGATAGGCTGTACTGGGTGGGGGAACCGCATGCGGCTTCCACCACTGGGACCTTCGGTGGAGCTCCGTATGGGGCGCCGAAGCGTTGTACTGGGTGGGGGAGACGCATGAAAAGTGCAGCCAATGGGGCCTTCGGTGGAGCTCCGTATGGGGCCACGAAACGCTGTGCTAGGTGGGGGAGACGCATGCAAGTGCAGCCACTGGGACCTTCGGGGGAGCTCCCCATGAGGCCACGAAGCGTTGTACATGGTGGGGGAAGCGCATGCGATTTCCACCTCTGGGACCCTCGGGGGAGCTCCGTATGGGGCCACGAAGCGTGTGAAGGGCGTGCCGAAATGGTTGACCGGTGCGGAGGGCAGGGGCAAGGAAGGGAATGAGGGAGGAGCGGGAGGAGGAGGCGGGAGGGAGGGAGGGAGGGACGCGGGGCGCTTTCTCTTCAAAGCGAGAACTCAACACCACAGGATGGTTGGGAAGAAAACCATTTGCGGGTAGCTAGGATCAGAAGCAAGTAATGGGCGCACGAGGAGCAAGACAGCGAGGATGGAGAGGGGGGCCTCGCACTGACTTCAGAGCAAGTAGACATTTTCAAGTGGGGCGGGTGCTGCTCTTGCGGCCAGGCCAAACACTAACTCTCCATCTCCTATATCCTTCGTATGGGGGTATTGTTCTTCGTGTCAGCCATCTGCCTCCTCAGCTCCTCACCACCTCACTTCCCCATTCTACTTGTTCTCATCACCCATGACTCATACCCACCCATACTCCTGAATCCCCAGCTTACCCATACTCAGCCACTCGTGAGAAAACATTCACAGTCACATGCGCTCATACCCAAACTCGTAAACCCGTATCATCGATACTCAGCCAAACTCGTACATGTCCACCATATCCTACATCAATCTTCCTCCTGCCTTTCCCCTTCCTCACAACTCTCACTCAGACTTACTCAGGTACTCGGTTATTCATGCTCAGACCCGCAGGCTTTCTGCTGTTCTGCGGCCAACTGGCTCCAGCAAGCTGTCGGTGAACGGCGGGACGCGTCGGAAGCGCATCACGCACACAGGAACAGGAGGCGGTAGGGAAGGAGAGGATGGCCGCGGAGCGGCCGCGGCGCCTTCAGAGCATGAAGCACTTGGGGGTGTGCCGGAGTCAGGCTCGATTTCTCGCAGGTGTCAGTGCGTGTGCAGATGCGTCGCAAATCCAGGTATGGAGAGGAGCCATGCGAATGCCAGGTGGCAATCCAACAGCGGGATCGACCACACATGTCGCCAGGGCACATTCCAGGGAACGGAACCACCAACAACGCAAAGTGAGCAATCGCGTGACAATAATCTCAGGAGGCACGCAATGTGGCGGCTAGGGTCAGAGCCGGCTGCTGAGCACATATTCACAAGCCAACAGGCTCGCGTATGCTCAGACTCAACCAATCACCGACTCACTGAGAACTCTGAGATTCTCTCACGCTCACACTCACTCATGCACATAATCGCTCATACTCAGACTCAGACTAATTTGCTCTAATCGTTCATTCTCGGGCTCACTCAACGGCAGGATCCCTCGCACTCATTCTTCAGACATGCTCATTCTCAGACTGATTCTCACCCATACTCAGCCTCCAGCTCATTCTCAGACTTTCCCCAAGGGGAACCACCAGTGGGTATATCACGGGCCCGTTCGCGCCCAGATTGGTGGCGTCTCTCTCGTGGAATGCCCTTGTGGGGCGGTGGACGCATTTCCTTCATTTTCATAGCCGCACCAGAAAGCCAAAGAATTTCTTGGTCAACGGCGAAGGCGAGCGCACAACGCGTTCGGGTAGCTGGGCAGCGCCGGGTCATCGGCTCCACAACAAACCAACGGCACGCCGCAGGAGCTCTGTCCTCGAGCTTCGAGCCACTGCTTCCTTCAATCCTCGAAGCCCCAGCCCCTCAGTGGGGCAGGTCAGCGTCGCTCCTGACCCTGGAAGCCCATCCTGGCCAGAGTCTCATCCCAGATCAGCTCCTCACGGCCAAGGGTCCCCAGAGGGCGAGGATGGCGAGAAGCCTGCCCGGGCCGCTCCGAGCCTCGTCATTGAACGTCGACCCTCGAACATCGGTCCTCAAACCTCGGTGCTCGATCTTCGAACCTTGATCCTCGGATCCATGATTCAATCAGCATCAGATCGGGAAATCGGATCGACTCGGAACGTGCACCCAACCAGGCTGCATCGGCACGGAGTCGGAAACTGATCGGAACGGCCGCGCGCCAGGATGGCACGGCAACGCTTATGCAGCATCGGCCTGCTCTGGATCGCCGCAGTCTTCTCCCCGTCATGCTCAAACCGCGATGGTGAAAACTGCCAGCCTCCGCCTCCACCCCCTCGAACTTCCTGCCCCCTTTTCGGAGATGCGGGTAGGAGGATGGCGATGGGGAAGCGACAAACGGAGTAGGGGGAGGGAGGAGGAGGAGGAGGAGGAGGACGAGGAGGATGAGGAGGAGGAGGAGGAGGAGGAGGAGGAGGAGGAGGAGGAGGAGGAGGAGGAGGAGGAGGAGGAGGAGGAGGAGGAGGAGGAGGAGGAGGAGGAGGAGGAGGAGGAGGAGGAGGAGGAGGAGCAGGAGGAGGAGGAGGAGGAGGAGGAGGAGGAGGAGGAGGAGGAGGAGGAGGAGGAGGAGGAGGAAGAGGAAGAGGACGGGGAGGAGGAGGAGGGAAAAAGAGAAAGGACTCCAGTGCCGGAACGGGCCGACGAGAAGGCGCACTCCGTGGGAGGTCGGCAGCAGAACGCCGGCTCTCGCCGTGCAGCAGGCGGGTCCCGAGGGCCACGGAGCCCCGACCGGGGCCTTCCCTTAGGTCGGGCATGTCCCCATACAGGCGGAGGTTGGGCGAAAGAGTGAAACTACTAGAAAAATGCCCCCGAATAGTCAAGGGTACTCCAGAAATCGTCCCCAGGCTGGTTTTTGGGACTGCTTTTGAATGCTCCTCCTGTAGGAGGGATGTGCCCGACTTGAGCCTTCCCCTGGGACCACTTTTTTATCCCGACCAAACTTTTTGACGGTCCCAGGGCCCGCGGAGGGCCCCAGGAGCTCGAAAGTTGCGAGAAACCTCAGGACAAATTTCCCTCAAGACCCGCTTCCTTCATGGAAGCTGATCGCCAGAATGTCGGAATTGGACCGGGTCGGGCCGACATGACGCGCTCAAGAACCCCTGAACCCAAACAACCTTAGCATCTCTCGGGGGGCCGAAATCTACTCCCGCCGCCTTCCGCCAACCTTCCGCTGGCGGAGGCAGTCTCGTGTTACTTCCGCCGCCTTCCGCTGAGCAAGAGACGGCAGCTCCTCATCCTCGAATAGAAAAAGAACGGTAAAAACATAAACTTTTTGCGCTCCGTGCGGATTTCTTGGATCTGCGCTCGACTCCCCTCCCTGGCGCGCGGAGCGCGCCAGGGATTGCGCCGGAGGCGCTGCCGGGGGAGCGCAGCGCAGATCCAAGAAATCCGCGCGGAGCGCCAACAGTTTATGTTGACGGCGTTTTCTCTCCTTCGATTTTTGAATGTCTCACATCGATCCGCAGTCGAATCGGATCGAGCACCTCGACCCTCGGACCTCGACCGCCACGGAGCCAGGCGACGCTTCGACACTGCCCGCCCGACCACGCCGATGGGCGACATCGGCGCGGTTGGCGCGATCGGCGCGATCGACGACTTCGATCGACGACGACGACGTCGATCGACGACGACGTCGTCGATCGAAGACGACGACGACGACGAGCCTGGCGTGATCCACGTCGAAGAGATTGACGCAGGTTGACGACGTCGATTGATCGACGCCGGCCGTCCGTCTGGACGGCGGCGGCGACGTCGATCGACCGATGGACGTCGGGGGCGGCAAAGAGGGGGGCGTCCAAGAGGGGGGGGGCGCAGATCATGGCCGGCGGCATGTGCGCGGCCCAGGGGGGGTTTCGGGGACGTGTTGAAACAAGAAGAGGCGCCATGAAGTCTCAGGAGATATCATGCCCCCGGCCACGAGATCCACCCCGCCCCCAGCCTTCACCCCCCTCGTGGCCGCCCTCGAGATGGACGACGTCATCGATCGACGACGGACGACGGCCGACGCTCCGGAGGGCCACCCGTCCTCGTGCGCGGCGCTGTCCGCCGAGTGCGCCTTGCCCCAGTGCGGCTGGGCCCCCAGCCTCCGCATGGCGGCCTCTCGAGCTGGGCGCGCTCCAGGCACGGGTGGGGTCATGAATGGGGTCGGGCCAGACGAAGGGGAGGGGTAGCATAAGGAGCAGGAGGAGGAGGAGGAGGAGGAGGAGGAGGAGGAGGAGGAGGAGGAGGAGGAGGAGGAGGAGGAGGAAAGGGGGCAGGTAGCGAATCAGCTCGCTCAGCTGGCGGGCAGCGAATCCGCTTCCTTAGCCGACCGTCGACGGCGCCGCCGGGCGCCAGAGGCGCCCAGGCATCGAGGAGAGCGCGGGGCGGCGGGGCCGAGGCCACCTGCACGCAGGAGATGTCCCTCGCCCTGTGTCGCCTGGCCCGAGCGCTCCACGGTGAGGACGCAAGGCGTGGAGGCTTCCCGAGCATGGCGGGGTCGTGCCGCGAAGACCTGTGCGTGGGCAACGCGTGGGCAACCGACACCGCGTGGATCCTTCGACCTCGGACGATCGCAGCCTCCAATTGTGCATGGTCGTTCGATACTGGCCGATTCTGGGCCACTGGCGGCGTTTAGCTTTTGACGTCTGCGCTGGAGTGGAGTCGCCGCAACGTCGACACGGCACGAACCTGCCGTAGATGGTGTCGGAGGATCGCGCTGCATCGCCGATGCATCGGCGACGTCGGCGTGGAGAACGTCAGGCTCCGCATCGCGCCGCATCGCAGGGCCCCCGAACGTTGGTGTTTGTGCGGTTTCTGGGTGAACTCATGTGTGCGTCCTCGCAGGCCCCCGAGAGCCTTCCCAAGAGACCCCAAGAAGCATCCCTAAGGACTCTGGCCTACATCAGCGTCGTCGTCGTCGTCGCTGCTGCTGCCGCCAACGTCGTCGTCGTCTTCGTCCCCCTTCAGGGTCGGCGGCACCGGCCGAAAGGCCTGCGCAGTCATGTGTGCGTACATCTCTGCCTCGCTCCTGGCCAAGTGCTGACGACGACGAGGACGGGGACCAACCGCAGGGGAACAGAAAGTGGCAGAAACATTCCCAAGAAGCTCGGAGGTCCTCGCGGATGCCGTGGACACACCACCCCCGGAGGCCCGCGCGGGAGGCCCGCACCGGCGCCAAGGACGGGGACCAACCGCAAGGGAGCAGAAAATGGCAGAAACATTCCCAAAAGGGAGCAGAAACCGCAAGGGAGCAGAAAATGGTAGAAAAAGCTCGGAGGTCCGCGCGGACACCGTGACACACCACCTCCCGGAAGCCCGCGCGGGAGGCCCGCACCGGCGCCCGGGCCCCCTCCTCCCCTCCCTGGCGCGCTCCGTGCACGACGAAGGCTCTGTGGGGGCGCCGCGCCGTGGAGGCGCCCGCCTTGCGGGAGCTCCGCCGATCCGGGAGCTCCGCGCGGGCCTCCCTCGGGCCGGGCGAAGAGGGGGGGACAGCAGAGGAGGAGGAGGAGGAGGAGGAGGAGGAGGAGGAGGAGGAGGAGGAGGAGGAGGAGGAGGAGGAGGAGGAGGAGGAGGAGGAGGGGAGGAGGAGGAGGAGGAGGAGAGGAGGAGGAGGAGGAGGAGGAGGAGGAGGAGGAGGAGGAGGAGGAGGAGGAGGAGGAGGAGGAGGAGGAGGAGGAGGAGGAGGAGGAGGAGGAGGAGGAGGAGCAGGAGGAGGAGGAGGAGGAGGAGGAGGAGGAGGAGGAGGAGGAGGAGGGGGAGGGGGAGGGGGGGTTTGGGAAGCAGCTCGCGCAGCTAGTTTTCCAGGCGCCTCCCGGCGCTGGGAGGCGCCCACGTATCGAGGAATGGGCCCGGCGCCGTGGAGGCGCCGCCCTGCGGGTCCCGCCGATCCGGGAGCTCCGCGCGGGCCCTCTCGGGCCGGGCGAAGAGGGGGGGAGAGCAGAGGGGGGGGAGCTTGGGAAGCAGCTCGCGCAGCTCATTCTCCAGGCGCCGCCCGGCGCTGGGAGGCGCGCCCATGTGTCGAGGCATGGGCCCGGCGGCGGGGCCAAAAGCAGCTGCATGCCGCAGCTTTCGTACTTACCCCACCCTTCCCTATCCCCCCTGTTCGTTCGGCCCGAGCCTCCCCAGGTTGATATGCCCCCAGTGTTCGGGGGTTTGCCAGAGGTGCCACTGGCCCAAGGTGCCCCTGGCTGTTCGCTCCATTCTGGAGCCCTTGGGGCCCTCAGGGCCTCGTGAAGGCTTCTCTGGAGGCCGTGGAGGCCTCCTCGGAAATCCTGGGACCCCTCGGGCTGGGGACACTTCTTTGGACGCCCGAAATGGGTACGGAGAAAATTGGTGATGCCCACCAACAAATGTTGTCCAAAACAGACAGCGGCCGCTGTTGGGCGGGCGGCTTTTTGTCTTCAGCGAACAACGGCCGCGGCGGCGCGGACAGCGAGTCCTGTTTAAAATGAACAAGAACTGCTGTTGTACCCTATCTTTCCGTACCAATTTCGATCGTCCCGAACTTCTGGCAACACTCCTAAACCCCGGACGTCATGATTTTTTTCATAACGTCGACCCCAGAGGTCCCGACCCATTCCCTGGGACTGGTTTTTCAGCCTGAGTCGATTTTTGACGGTTCCGAGGTCCGGTAATGGCCCCGAGAGGCCAAAAATACAGAAAACCCTCCCGTCATGATTTTTTCATGACCCGAGGGGATCTGGGCCCGAAATTTGATGCCATCCCCGAAGGCGCACTCGCACGCTCAGCCCCGTGCGCCAGAACTCCGCCCGCTTACTAGACGAGCGCGTTCCACTACTCGCAAAGCTACTACTCGCAGATCGCTTGGATCCGCCGCGGGGGATCTACGATGTTTCTCGTGGAGGCGACCATGTGCTTTTCGAACGTTTGCGAGGAGGTGCTTTGCTATAATAGTGCAGTGTTGAAGATGTTGTTGCACTCGATGTCCTCCAGCATGATGCCGCAGAAGTCGGTGGCCACCACCTCGAAGTCGGAGCCGAAGCCCAGACCCAACACAGTAGCCACCAATGAAACAAAACGAGGATCATCGTGTCATCTTGAAGGTCGATGTCAAAACTTTGCGGATGATCAGCTGGGTGGGCTGCGTACCTGAGCCAAGCACAAAGCCACTCCAGGGCATTGACTGATGTCCAGTAACCTGCATCAAAACGTGGTATCAAACATTTCCCGCCATCAAGAACTGCAAACTCCCTCTCGTCTAGCAGCGTCATGACAGCGATGTGCTTGGGGAGGCCCGCGGCCTCGCATCTCTGGAGCAGCCAGCGTTTCAGCCCACCGACTGGCAACGAAATGGCCTCCGTCAGTGGGCTGAGCACCGACGACATCACTTCCTCTTCTTGCCTCGCCCTTCGGCTTCGGCTTCCCCTTCAGTGCAGCCCGCAAGCGCTGCTCGTCTGGCGTCTGGAACGAGCAGGCCTGCTCGATCACCGCCGCCTTTGCGGGGTCCTTCCAGAACAGCAGGTTCGAAAAGGCCAAGCGGAATGCTTCTGGTGCGAAGTCGCTGAAGGTGAGAGTCCACTTCCACGTGGAGTCCTCCTTCGGCTTGTTGTGCCTCGTCGAGAACTCTCCCACCCAGAGCTTCAGAGACGGGATGGCCGTCGACTTCAGCTCTTTCAGCGCAGTGAGGGTCTCTTTCCCCGCTTTGTCCTCTGGATTCTTTGATGTGAAATCCTCGAGCCTCGGCAACATAAAAGATACAAAACTGATGAAGCTGAACGTATCCTTCGACATGTCCAGCGGATGCTTCGGGAAAGTGCGCGTCTCGCGCATCTCCTGCGTGACTGGGATCTTCTGGTCCATGTATACTTGGATCATCGAACCGAACTCTGTGGCCGCCGAGTTGGACTTGAGTAAAATGACAATATTCTTTGCTGCGATAGATGGCCTGGCGAGCGCTTTGAATCCCAAGAAATCTCAAGAATAATGTGAAGATCTCCTCGTCCGCCAGCGGGGTGGTGTTGCCCGTCTTCTGACGTACCTCGCGCTCGGGGCTCTCTTTCTTCTCGGACATGATCACATCTGAGCTCCCTCCAATGCGGATCTTGGCGGCGCGACTGCTGGCGTCCTCCAGACATTCGGCAAGTAGGTCAGCAGGCGCCGCCGGCGCGGATGAGGCAGAAGATGCCGCAGCCGCCATCTCAAAGACAAACATACACTGCTCAACCCACGGTATGCGAGCCCAACGTACCAAGACAAGAACAAATATCATAATAACCGAGGGGGGGGGGGGCGCGCTCCGTCGCGATTAAGGCATCGTGGTTACCAGTAGTGGCCCTACGGGTCCCCCCCCCATCGGTAATATTAATGCTCAGATAATAGTCAACCAATGCTCACATAATGCACTGCCCATCTCAAACTCAATGCATACACCCTCGTACCAATTCCAATACTCTCATCCCAATATACGTACTCTCACTCCCAATCATATAATCTCGATAGCAATGCATGTACTCTATGTCCGATGTGCATACTCTCAGTTCCAATGTATATCTCATTTCCCAGTGCTCATACATGATACCCACTCATCTCACTACCAATGCACATGCTCTCAAGACCAATGCTCTCGCTCTAAGATCAAAGCGCGCACTCCCATACCACTATGTATATCTCTCACTCCATGGACCCAGAGAGGGGCTCATGATAGATGAAAGGGTGGTGCTTAGGAGGAAAACCGTGGGCATCAGGCAGAGTGCGATGCCACGCGCCCGTGTTTAGTGATAGCCCGAAGAACGTGCGACGGACCTTGCACCCGCGTTCATGCTTACATTTACCATGTGCCGTAGCGTAGAAAGTACCACAGTGCGCGCATGGGTGATCCCGAAGACGAGTCCGAGTCACCATCCGAGTACGAGTTAACCACATGTCGAACGGCATTTGTACACACGATTTCCTATGAACATATTGTTTGAGCTTCCCCTTGGGATCGTTTTGAAACACCTGGCGACAGAAGGGGCAAATATGGGGCTCCACCGTTTGAGGCTGCTCAGGCGCTGGGAGACTAGACATTTGTGATTTCGTAACAATTGTTTGAAACCGCTCGGGGAGCCCAGAGGAGGGCAACCTATAGGTCCAGTTGGTACGACACTTCTTACATCC